AAATTAGTTTGCTCTGGAGCCGCCCTTCCTGAGCGAAGGCAAAAATGTGTGAGCCGGAGGCTGAAAAACTGGGAGCCTGGCGTGATCTGGTCCATGGGGTCGCGAAGAGTCGGACTCGACTGTGCGACTGAACAACAAAATCTCACAGTAACTCAGCTTGAAGGTCAAAGAAGACGGGGACGGCAAAGGATGAGATGGTTGGACAGTGTCATCGACGCAACGAACATGAAATTGAGCCAACTTCAGAGGACAGCGGAAGACAGGAGGGCCTGGCGGGAGCTGGTCCATGGGGTCGCGAAGAGTCGGACTCGACTGTGTGACTGAACAACAACAACAACAACAACTCAGCTTAGAAGGAACACTGCTCTGGAGCCCTCCTTCCTGGGCTAAGACGAAAACGCATGAGCTGGAGGCTAAAAAACTGTGAGCTAGCTCACACTAACTCAGCTTAGAGGGAATGCTGCTCGCGACACAAGACCTTTCATTTATCCCTGGCTATAACGGCATCCGTTTACCCCGAGAAAATGTGGGGAGAAACCGGGGTGACCACAGTGTAATGTGGAAACAAAAAATAACCCAAGATAATTGCAGGGGTGAAGTCGCGTGTAGCGTAGAATGTAAAAATACCCAGAGATAATTTATTATTATTTCTATTTATTATTTATTCTTTGAATTTGCACACACACACACACACACACACACACCCTGCCTAGGCAGACTCTTTCAGCTCTTACAAGGGTGAACCCGCGTGTAGCTGTAGAATGTAAGTTTGGGGACAGGGTTGAACCAGGATTGAAGGTCTAGTGCGGAAAGGACCCCTGTGCCTGTTCGGGGGTGGGGCTTCCCCCCCGCTGACTAGCTGACCAGTGGCAGGCTGGAGCCGCAGAAATCGGGGGAACCCCTGCCCGGGCTGGGTGTGCGTGTCCCGGCAACCCTGATTTGGTGTGGCCAACCTGGGACAGCAAACATCGGGCCAGATGCTGCGTCCCTCCCCAGAGCGGCAGTCCTGTTCAGATCGGAAAAGACTGGGGAAAGACATTCACCTTCTGAACAATTCTCTCTGGATGCCGGCGCCAGCAGGAAGAAGGAGGCCTGTGCTGCCCCCTGGCAGAGATTTCTCACGATGCAGGCACTTCTGAGTTCACATTTGTCCCAGGAAACGTACCGCAGATCTCCGGATTTTGCTCCCAGTTTTGTGATTCACTGGAGAGCCAGTTTGGTATCGTGGTTAGGAGCGCGGACTCTAATCTGGGAGAACCGGGTTTGATTCCGCACTCCTCCACTTGCAGGTGCTGGGTGACCTTGGGCAAGCCGTAGTTCTGTCAGAGCTGTTCTCTCAAGGGCAGTCCTCGAAAGAGCTCTCTCAACCCCACCTACCTCACTGGGTGTCTGCTGTGGGGAGGGGAAGGGAAAGGAGTCTGTAAGCTGCTCTGAGACTCCTTCCGGTAGTGAAGGGCGGGGTATAAATCCCATCTCTTCTCTTCTTCTTCTGTTCATTCCAATGGTGCTTCGCTGCAGCTGCTGGCCGAATGCCGTCTAGGTGGATGGACACGTGGCTACTTTTGCTTTTTGAGAGGCAGTAGAAAAACGTTTCAGCGAGTGGCAATCCAGCAGCGACCAACTACAGCCCAAACCGAATTCTGCTGCTGGAAAGGGCTGCCAGGTTATTTGTTTATGTTTATTTACAAAATTGGTGCCCTGCCATTCTGCCCTTACAAGGGCCACCAAGGTGACTAACAATTTAAAACATGCCCCTATCTATTTTGTTTAATTTTATTTTTATGACTTTTCTAATTGCAACATATAATGTGCGTATTACAGATCTTAAAGACGAGTCTTACATTCAATATTTCCAATGTTTACATCTCCGCCATTATTGGATGTTTTCCTAAGTTAATGTTCTGATCCACTTATACAATCATACCCAAAATTCTTTCTGTGTTTCTTCATCTTTCCCTTGTAGTAAATTGGATAACCTGTCCATTTCATAGAATCATGAAATCATAGAATGTTAGAGTTCGAAGGGACCTTGCAGGTCATCTAGTCTAACCCCCTGCACTCTGCAGGAGCACAGCCGAAAGATAGCCCTACACAAGGCTTTTTTTGTAGAAAAAGCCCAGCAGGAACTCACTGGCATAATAGGTCATACCCAACAACAGGAACTCATTCGCATATTAGACCACACCTCTGACAGCACAGCTCATTCGCATATTAGGCCACACCCCCATGTTACCAGAAGTGTGGTCATCCAACCACACCCACCTTTTGCTTCTTATTCTCTTTACCTTGTTTGTTGTCAAAACCCAGGGCTTTTTTTTTGGAGCAGGAACTCCTTTGCATGTTAGGCCACACCCCCTAATTGTAGCCAATCCTAATGAGTTTCTGCTGTTGGGTGTGGCCTAGTATGTCATTGAGTTCCTGCTGGGCATGTCCAACTTGGGAGCCAGCCGGAACTCCGTTCCTGTGCGTTCCTGCCCAAAAATACCCCTGGCCCTACAACATACCCGAAAGATGGTCGTCCAGCCTCCGCTTGAAAACATCCAGTGAAGGAGCATCTACCACCTCCCAAGGCAGACTGTTTCAGCCAGTTCAAACAATCTCTGGAGCAGTTCTTCCCTTGATGGGATTCTGTCAAGTTTCCAGTGTTTAGCAACCAAAATTCTAGCCGTTGTTAAAATATACACTATCATATATACATCTGGTTTATTATACCCATCTGGAATGATATTCAATAGAAATATTTCTGGTTCAAGGGTTAGTTTGGTACCTATTATTGTATAATTCTTTGAATCTCTGCCCAGTACTTTTTTATTTTGCCGCACGTCCACCACATATGGTAATATGTCCTCACATTTTTCTTACATTTCCAACGGTTACTCAATAACATGCCCATATCTATTGACATCATTTACAGTTCACTGTTCCCACAGGGACTCACAGCAGATTACCCAGATTGAGGGTCCGGTCACACGGACGTTTAGTGCGGGACTCGCAGCCGATCTCTCCCGCATTAAAGTTTTCTGTCTATATAGGCAATCCCGCCTCCCGCCCCGAAGCCGGCAGAGTCCCGCGGTTTTTGCTCTTTTATCCGTGTTTTTTTGACCCCTGTTGGAACTGGTGTTTTCCCTCTATCTTGCGCTTTATATTCGCTTCTTTGGTATCTGGACATCGATCCGCCGTGATAGCGCTCCCCCCCCTTTTTTCTTTGTTTCTGGTTAAAGTCATGCGCATGCTCAAACGGGCGCTCACTTTTATTTTGTTTTGGGGGGTTGTTTGTGTGTCTGTACGGCCCAGCGCCCGAGCGACCAAGCGCCTGTTTAACCACATTGTTTATTGATAGACGAGCGCATGCGCAGGTTTTTTGTTTGTTTGTTTTTAAACCCCCCGCGATCACGGGGACGGCGCGGCTGTGTGAACAATTACTCGCGCAAGTAAAGCGGGATGCAGAGGGACCGTCTGAACACCATCAAAGCGACATGGATGTCCCGGATGTAATTACTGCGGGAAAACTCGCGCGGCAAGGGGTCCGTGTGACCATAGCCTGAGTCAATACAATCGACAGGACCGGTATTTAATAAACAATGGAACAGGAATTTGGTTTTTGCTGGCTTTTGAGCAAGGGAAACCCTCCCTTTCCCTTTTTAGAACCCATACAAACTGGGAGGCTGGTTTGCAAACAACTGACCCGGTTCACATCGGTTTGTGAGCCATTTAAAGTTTAAACCCCTGCTTTCTGCTCACCACCGCTTTGCCCAGGGAGCAGAAAGCAGGGGTTTAAATGGCTTTCCAGAGCTCCCATCGATGTTTCCTTGAGGGTCAGTTTTGCTAACTCTGCATTGGGAAATTCCTGGAGATTTGGGGATGCAGCCTAGGGAGGGGAAGGAGCTCAGCCTGGGTGTGATGCCAGACAATCCACCTTTCAAAGCTGCTGTTTTCTCCATGTTTCAATCTCTGTGGCCCGGAGATCAGTTGTAAGGGCCCAGCTGGAGGTTGGTAACCATACCCTTTACTTTTACTTTTCCTTGAAAGCTGGTTTGGTGTATTGGTTAGGAGTGTGGACTCTAATCTGGGAGAACCAAGTTTGACTCCCCACTCCTCCACATGCAGCCAGCTGGGTGACTTTGGGTCACTCACAAGTTCTCTCAGAGCTGTTCTCTCAAGGGCAGTCCTCGGGAGAGCTCTCTCAGCCCCACCTACCTCACATGGTGTCTGTCTGTTGTGGGGAAGAGAAGGGAAAGGGATTGTAATCCACTCTGAGACTCTTTTGGGTAGTGAAGGGTGGGGTATAAATCCAATCCAATTCTCCTCCTACTCCTCTTCTTCTAACTGCACCATAAGAGTTGCAATCATGTCCCAAAATTCAGATCTGAAGAAAGTAACTTGGGGAAAATCTCTCCCTGCCACCCACCCATAGGTCGAAATGTGGTTCTTGTGCACCTTGAGCTATTAATTCTCAGCATCTTGAATGGTTTTCAATCCCCCACCCCCAGCACATTGTCTTTTGCATGATCAGTTTTTGTGGACAAATTCACCTCCAGGTGACATTTCCCCGTGAGTCTTATGGCCAGGATGAGACGATGGGGTTGGTGGGAGGTCGAGAAGTGGAGGGGCTTCCGTTCTGACACAAAACTGGAACGGGAGTCCGCAACGTGGTTCTTGTGGGCGCTCTGGTGCCCGCCGATGCCGTTGTGTGGCTGGCCCCACCTCCTGTAGCAGCCATTTTGCAGCGGACGTATCGGGCTGAGGCCAGCACACTGTGTCAGAATTCCAAAAGTGCCCAGAGGCTCAAAAAGTTTTGGGACCCTGGGCTAGAAAGATGCCTGCTTGCCTCCTTCATCTCTGGGCTTCTGTCTTCAGCTGCAAGGGGAGTCTTCCTCACTGATCGCCGCAGACAGCGGTGGGTTTCTTTAAGGGCCCTAATTTCTGCATAATAACCCCCCCCCCCGTCCATAAGTAAAGCTTTAGTGGCATCGATGTGATTGGCTGGTGCGCCACTGGGCCCTCCTCTCTCTGCTCTGCAGAACCTGCGTTTTCCTCTGTCAATCATTAGCAGAAGCACGAACGGGTGGCCGGAGAGGTGAGCGAACAGGTGGCCGAGAGGTGAGCCGAGGCTTTGCAAGACACCTGGCGGGGTCCCCAGGGGGCAGGCCTGGAAGAGGGCCCTGGCTCTAGAGAAAATGCAGCACTTCCTCCAGTATCTGGGCTGCTTCTTTGCTTTCTTCTCCGCCGGGTTCCTGATCGCGGCCACCTGGACGGACTGCTGGATGGTGAACACCGATGACTCCCTGGAGGTAGGAAGGAGAGGGAGGGAGGGGTCAGGAATGAGGACCTCCGGTGACCCAAAGCCACCCTTCCAATCCCAACACAGCTACGACCTTCTGGTTGACCTGCCTTTCACTTCTTTTACCTTGTGGTGCACGGTGGACACCGTGGAAGCTGTAAAGCTTTTGTGCCTGTCGTTATATCCTAATTCAGGCTACTTAATAGAGGTAGACTGAATTAGGATATAATGAAAGGAACAAACGAGTCTAGTGACACCTTAAAGGCTGAATGCGCTTGGGCCGATGCAGAGCTAGCTCACAAAAGCTCCCGCCAGAATGGATTGCCAGTCTTTAAGGTGTCACGGGAGGGTTCTTTGCTGCTTGGTTTATTTTGAGAGGGGCTGCGTGGCTCACTGGCAGAGCAACTGCTTGGCATGCAGAAGGTCCCAGGGTTCAATCCTCGGCACCCCCAGTTAAAAGGACCAGGCAAGAAGAGATGGGAAAGACCTCCACCTGAGACCCTGGAGAGCTGTAAAGAGGGGCTGTGGCTCAGCGGTAGAGTCTCTGCTTGGCATGCAGAAGGTCCCAAGTTCAATCCCTGGCATCTCCAGTTGAAAAGGACCAGGCAAGAAGATCAAATCAGTGAATCCTAAAAGAAACCAACCCTGACTGTTCCCTGGAAGGCCAGATAATGAAACTGAAGCTCAAATACTTTGGCCGCCCAATGAGAAGGGAGCACTCACTGGAGAAGACCCTGATGCTGGGAAAGATTGAAGGTCAAAGAAGACGGGGACGGCAAAGGAAGAGATGGTTAGACAGTGTCATCGATGCAACGAACATGAAATTGAGCAAACTCCGGAGCATGACGGAAGACAGGAAGGCCTGGCGGGATCTGGTCCATGGGGTCGCGAAAAGTCAAACTCGACTGTGCAACTGAACAACAACAACAACAGCAACAGCAAGGAAGTGATGTGAAAGACCTCCGCCTGAGACCCTGGAGAGCTGTCAAGAGGGGCTGTGGCTCACCGGTAGAGTCTCTGCTTGGCATGCAGAAGGTCCCAGGGTTCAATCCCAGGCATCTTCAGTTAAAGGGACCAGGCAGGAGGTGATGGGAAAGACCTCCATTTGAGACCCTGGAGAGCTGTAAAGAGGGGCTGTGGCTCAGTGGAAGAGTCTCTGCTTGGCATGCAGAAGGTCCCAGGGTTCAATCCCGAGCACCCCCAGTTGAAACAATCAGGAACACTCCGGATTTTCTCAGCGTTCGAGTCGAGGCAATTTAAGTCCATGGCAAGCAGCATCCAAATAAGCCAGGGCAACACCCGGCTGAAACCGGGCTGACCACTCAAGGGAGGGAATGCAATACAGAAGTGGGGGGGGGACCTGGAATACAAAGAAGGCTGGACTCCATTTTAGTGCAGAATGGGGGGGGGGGGGGCCCGGTTTAAAAGGGGGGGAGCCTGAATTAAAAAGAAGGTTGGATTTGATTTTAGTGCAGAATTGCTTGCAGGATGCTTTGGTGAACATGGGTTAAAAGGAGAGTGGCCAATGTGAAAAGATCCCCGCCTGAGACCCTGGGGAGCTGCCGCCGTCCTAAGTAGGCCATACTGACCTTGACGGGCCAAAGGCCTGATTCAGTGGTAAGGCAGCTTCGTGCGTGTCCATTTGTTTATTGACTTAATTTATACTCCATCTTTCCCCCGATGGAGACTCAGGGCAGCCTCTCCTCCTCTGTTTCATCCTTACAATAACCCTGTGAGGTAGACTCGGCTGAGAGAGTGTGGCTGGTCCAAGGTCACCCAGTGAGCATCCGTAGCTGAGTGGGGATTCGAATCCTGGTCTCCCAGATCTTACCCTGACACTCGAACCACGACACCCCTGCCTGGGTCTCAGCTGCAGCCGTTCCTTTGGTTGTGGCATGCTAATTCCCCCCTCCCCCCAATTCATAAGGGTATTGTCAGGATTGTTGCACAGCCAGAGGGTAACTGTTTGGTATAGTGGTTAGGAGCGCGGACTCTAAACCAGGGGAACCGGGTTTGATTCCCCACTCCTCCACATGCCACTGCTGGATGACCTTGGGTCAGTCACAAGTTCTCCCAGAGCTGTTCTCTCAGGGGCAGTTCCGGAAAGAGCTCTCTCAGCCCCGCTGACCTCACAGGGCATCTGTTGTGGGGAGGGGAAGGGAAAGGAGCTTGTAAGCCGCTCTGAGACTCTGAGTGAAGGGCAGGGTGTAAATCCAATCTCTTCTTCTTCTTCTTCTTCTTCTTCTTCTTCTTCTTCTTCTTCTTCTTCTTCTTCTTCTTCTTCTTCTTCTTCTTCTTCTTCTTCTTCTTCTTCTTCTTCTTGTGTAGTGGTTAAGTGCGCAGACTCTAACCTGGGAGAACCGGGTTTGATTCCCCACTCCTCCACTTGCACCTGCTGGATGACCTTGGGCAAGCCATAGTTCTACCACAGCTGTTATCTCAAGGACAGTTCTCGAGAGAGCTCTCTCAGCCCCACCTACCTCACAGGGTGTCTGTTGTGGGGATGGGGAGGGAAAGGAGTTTGTAAGCCGCTCTGAGACTCTGAGTGAAGGGCGGGTTATGAATCCAATCTCCCCCTCCCCCTCCTCCTCCTTCTAACTTCTCCCCCTCCCCCTGCTCCAGGGGCACCCTTCAGTACAGAGAGTGTCTCCGTGGGCCTTACATCTATTGGGTTGGATTTCCATGCAGCGAAGCAAGAATTCTGTGAGCAGCAGAGATGGCCCAAAACTTCGGGAGATAAATGCAGGAGAGGGATCACCACAGCAACTAAGGTTGCCAGACTCCAGGTGGTGGCTGGAGATCCCCTGCTAGTACAACTTACCTCCAGGTAGCGTTCCCTCTAAGCTGAGTTAGTGTGAGCGAACTCACAGTTTTTTAGCCTCCGGCTCACACATTTTTGTCTCAGCTCAGGAAGGGATGGCTCCAGAGCAAACTAGTTTATACAGTAGCCAGATCGCTCCCTCACAACTTTAATGCCAGTAGCTCACAAAGTAGAATTTTTGCTCACAGGACTCCACAGCTGGAGCATTGCCTCCAGGTGACACAGACCAGTTCACCTGGAGGAAACGGCTGCTTTGGAAGGTGGGCTCTGTGGCCTTATACCCTGCTGAGGTCCCTCCCCTCCCCAAACCCCGCCCTCCCCAGGCTCCACCCCCCCAAATCTCCAGGAATTTCCCAACCTGGAGCTGGCAACCCGAACAGCAACATTTCTGAGCCGATTTTTGCTCTTGTGTACATGCAGTAAGACCTTGGGAATGGAGACGGGCCCCCTAGGACATTTTTTTTTTGCCAGTTTTCATTTTGGTCTCGATGGGACGCATCAACAGTTTGCTGAGGGAAACCAGGGGCGGATCGGGATACCAAAAAAGGCCCAGAGTGAGCAGAGATGAGCTGAGACTAGCATCGTTCCCTCTAAGTCGTGGAGTCTGATGAGCAAAAATTCTGCTTTGTGAGCTGCTGGCATTAATGCTTTGAGCAAGCGATCTGGCTCCTGCATAAGCTAGTTTGCTCTGGAGCCCTCCTTCCTGAATGAAGACAAAAATGTGTGAGCCAGAGGCTAAAAAACTGTGAGCTGGCTCACACTGACTCAGCTTAGAGGGAACGCTGGCTGGGAGTCTCCTTAATCTGCTGGCAAACCCTGATCCAGAACTGATAAGGGTAGAAAGCCACAGAGTCACAGAGCCCACCTCAGGCCCATAGCTACAGTTGGGCCTCTTGGGGCCTGGCCCCCCGGCTTACTGCCAAAGCCCCCCCCCCGCCTTCCCATCCATCCCAGGCCCCTCAACTTCCAATTTTTAATTTTATTTATGGTGCACACTTGGCGGGCATGCAGGGCGGGGGTTGCCCCCGACGTATTTAAAGGCACCCCAAATTTTAAAATCCTGGGTTCGGGCCTGGTCCGCCTTTCAAAGCAGCCATTTCCTCCAGGGGCATTAATCTAGGTCGTCTGGAGATCAATTGTGATAGAGGGAGAAATCCAGGTGCCATCTGGAGGTTGGCAATTCTATCCTAGGAGGAGGAGGAGATTGGATTGATACCCCACCCTTCACTCCCCAAGGGAGTCTCAGAGCGGCTGACAAACTCCTTTCCCTTCCCCTCACTGTTAGATCGCGCTAACAAAGACCCGTAGAGTGATTTCAGCAAGTGATTCAGCTTTATTCGAACAAGCACACAAACGCATTAAGGAATCAGAACAACTTAACATTGGAGCTGGGCTCCTTTTAAACATACCGGGCTAATATAGCCACGCCTACTATTTACATAACAACCAATCAGATTGCATAGATAAAGGCGAATCAGTGTCCTTCCCGCTCAGGGAACAGCTCTTCTGTGATTGGTCGCTGTTTTGAAGCGACCAATAGATTGTTCGTACTGTCGGAGCCTTGGCCGGCTCGAAGCTTAACATGGGAAGTGTATTGAGCGATTCATGTTATGCTGTCAGTACATAACACTCACCACAACAGACACCCTGTGAGGTGGGTGGGGCTGAGAGAACTCTGACACAAACTGCTCTTTTCCAAGGACAGCTGAGCCAGAGCTTGTGACCGACCCAAGGTCACATCAGCAGGTGCAAGTGGAGGAGTGGGGATTCAAACCCGGTTCTCCCAGATTAGAGTCCGCACACTTAACCACTGCACCAAACTGGCTCTCACCCAAACTGGACCCACCCAAGCTCTGTGTGTGTGTGGGGGGGGGGGGGGTCATGTGGTGCAAGTGGAGGAGTGGGGAATCAAACCCGGTTCTCCCAGATTAGAGTCTGCGCACTTAACCACCACACCAAACTGGCTTTCTATTGGGTCACCATAAATCAGCTGTGATGTGAAGAGGAGGAGGAGAGTTGGATTCATACCCCGCCCTTCACTCAGAGTCTCAGAGCGACTTACAACCTCCTTTCCCTTCCCCTCCCCACAGCAGACACCCTGTGAGGGAGGCGGGGCTGAGAGAGCTCTCTTGAGGACTGCTCCTGAGAGAACCTGTGACTGACCCAAGGTCACGCCAGCAGCTGCATGTGGAGGAGTGGGGGAACACACCCGGTTCACCCAGATTAGAGTCCGCGCTCCTAACCACTGCACCAAACTGGCTCTCACCCAAACTGGTAGTCAACGGGGCCTCTTGGGTCCAGGGCCAGTCAACATCCAGACCTGGGTTTCTAGAGGGCCAGGTGTGGTTGGCCGCAGACAGTCCAGCAGCTGGGCCACTGGCTGAAGCCCACAGAGGGGGGAAAGGGCCCCCTCAGAGCTGTCCAATGGGCCTAGAACTCTCGGCGGATAGGCGACTCGGCAAGGCCTGGGAAAGATTTGTTTTAGCTCCTACTCATCTCACGTATGGAATCCATCTTCCCTCTTGGTTCCCTCTCTCTGGATGGTCCCCTACTTTCAGATGGAGTGTGGGGGCTGGAATCCTAGAAAGAGTTGGAAGGGACCTTGCAGGTCATCTAGTCCAACCCCCTGCACTCTGCAGGAGCAGAGCCGAAAGATAGCCCTACAACATACCCGAAAGAGAGTCGTCCCAGTAGTACAGGAAAAGGTTATAAACACTCAAATTCAGAATAACGTCTCCCAAAAGAAAATGGCACATTAAAAAAGCGCTTGCCCTTAGCTTCCATACCAATGAGAGGAACTCCGCTACAGATGCAGTGATTTCAGGGGATTTATCGGAAAGCAAGAAGATAAACTCATTATCAACAGTCTTTGCAGAAGGCAAAAGAGGACGAATCAAGTGATGGCGTAGGAAGGAGTATTGGGGGCAACGAAGAAGGATATGTTGCACAGAATCAGGTTCATGATAGGAGCAGTTGCAAACTCTATCCTTATAGGGGGTACCTTTGTATCTACCTGTCCAAACAGCCGAAGGAAATAAATTAAACCAAGCCGACATAAAGGCTCTGCGATGAAGAGGAATAATCAAATTAGAAAAATACTGAGCCACAGAATCTTGTAGCGAGGGGAGGCCGAGGAAACGAGGGGAGCACATTCCAGCGCTCCTGGCATTAATTACTTGGGCTTCAATGTTGTATGTGTGTGTGTGTGTGGGGGGGATATATCCAAGGTCCTAAGACAGAGGCTGAATAGATGGGAATCAGAATTAGACCCCCAAGCAACATCTGCCCAGTGTCCGTGAAGTTCCTTCTGCTGGCCAAAAGCCTTTCGGCAATCCTCTTTGTCCAGCTTTTCTCTCTCTCTCTCTCTCTCTCTCTCTCTCTCTCTCTCTCTCTTTTTCCGTCTATGTCCAAGCTTCTTATAGCTGT